AAGAAGATTGCGCCCATTACGCCGCACATGTTACATATCGCCGCGATTGTCGGAGTGAGAGCAATAAGTCTAGGGCCATCAATCACTGATAACACTAAACTGATGAGCGGTAAAAGCTTTTAAAGTGTCGCCTATGGCCAATTTTGGGTATGATAGTTTTCTGCGATTTCACGGGTGCGCGCAATTTTAAGGCTTGACATGTTTGGTGTCTATTTACCCGACGTGACCCCGTCTTTTATATATTTTACCAAAAAACTGGGTAATAATAAATGTTTCCTAACAATGTAAAAAAGACTTTTTTTTTTTCCAAAATTTTTCCTAATTATAGTAAAAAATAAAACCCCCAGTGGTGTTTAAATACCACCAAAAGAAAGCTCTATCTGTCCCCAAAAAATGGTATAAAATTAATTTCAGTACAGCGTTGCATGACGTTTTAAATGTCAGTCAAAGTACTGCAGCGCTGAACACTGCAAAATGGCCTGGCCAGGAAGGGGGTCTAAACACCTGGTCTTCAAGTGGTTAAAGCAGCATATAATCCCATCAAGATGACTTTTTTTGAGGGAAGGTCTTGCATATTTCTGCAGGACAATGCTAAAATGCATACTGCATCTAGGACAACAGCATGGCTTCATAGTAGAAGAGTCCTGATGCTTTACTGGCCTGCCTGCAGTCCAGACCTTTCAACAATTGAAAATATTAGGCACATTTTGAAATGAAAAATATAACAAAGAAGACCCAGAGCTGTTGTCAAGTTATAATACTATATAAGGCAATAATGGGACAACATTCCTCTCCCAAAACTCCAGCAATTGGTCTCCCCAGTTTCCAGATGTTTACAGTGTGTTAAAAGAGGGGATGATACACCGTGGTAAACATGGCCCTGTCCCAACTTTTTTGAGAAGTGTTGCTGCCAATTTCCAATATTTTTTTTCTGAAAATGGTACATTTTCTTAGTTTAAACATTTTCTATGTTTTCTATTTCCTATTATGAAGAAAATATGGGTTTATCAGATTTGCAAATCATTACATTCTGTCTTTATGTAGTTTGTATACAGCTTCCCAACTTTTTTGGAATTGTTGTAGATTGATCAGCACTGGAGTAGGGCACACTTGTCGGGTAAGTGTGCCATAATGTACAAGCATGCTGTCCATACTTGTACATTATGGCAAGAGCTCACCTACCAACCTACAACAGCGGACATTACTTTCACTTTAAAATTGCCCTTTTGGGCAAAAACCACACATTAAATGACATGGTCCTCAAAGTTTTTCTTCAATCGCTACTTGTCTGACCATTGTGTTCTGTTGCAATGCATTTCAAATTATACCAAGCTTTCCAAACTATGCTCTGACTTTGTAATAGTAGCATTTACCATCTGTTGAATCTGCTTTTGAATTGAGTTCTGGGATTTCCTGACAGAATTTCAATAAATTATAGAGGGATCAAGAGTCTACAAATAGTGTAGTTCCAAATCGTTCTGGACCGGTCACTGCATCTGTTTGGAATACAAAGCTGAACAATTTGTAATGAGTCTTAAAGCAAAAGCTCCAAGCACCTCCTCCATTGCTACTTTCAGTTCTCGGAATCACATCATCTTAGGCTTGAGCCGTGCAGTGTACAGAGAAAAAAGAAAATTTAAAAAAAAGGAGCTTTGGGCAAAGCTTTTTATCTATTTTTGGAACCCCTAGCACCTTTTTTTTTTTTTTTTACTGGGGAAGTTTAGTTTCAGTGTAAGCTGACCACAGACATTAGATAACAGTCAGTTATGCAAAAGGGATCTGACTGTCCCACGTGTTCTATCACAGAGTCATAACAGAAATACGCAGGCTTTAGAAGTGTTACCGTTTTGGCTATGGTGTAGGAAGAGAGGAACCATTCAACAAGAAAAAGAATATTGAAAAGAAAAGATTTTTAAAACTGTTCATCCAGCTGCTCCTCGAGATCCGTCAAGCCTAACTGCCTCAAGTTGCCCTGTAGACATAACTATCACCTGATCTGGACTAAAAATCTGGATTGGTAGACTCTGATCTCCGGTCAAGTAATTCTAAAAAAAAAGAAACATGCCAGACATTTGCTTACCATCTCTTCATCTTCAGCCAATAGTAAGTCGTAGTCACTGAGTGCCACACAGAAAATAATTGCAGTTACACCCTCAAAACAATGAATCCACTTCTTTCTTTCTGACCTCTGTCCTCCCACATCGAACATTCTGTACAAAAGGAAATACAAAATTGCATATAATGGTAAAACAGGTACATATATTTAAAAGGAATTTGTCATGAGAGAAATATGTATGCCACCTTTGCTTACTTCTTTCTGAAAATAATAGCTCCCTGGCTGATTTTGATCCTCTTACTTTGTCTTTACATTCTACATACTTTTTTTAAGTCAGTGATTCAAAGTATTATTTTAAAAGAATCAGCATGGCAACTACAAACAGAAAGGGAATAATTGTCTGCTGTAGGGAATCAAAAACCTGCACCCCCTACCCTCAAGGATCCAGGCAAATATCAGAGTTGGGTGTAGAAGTGGCTAGTTTAGAAAAGCACCTGCAGTCATCACAGTGATCCAGCCAAGCACTGTCAAACTTTAAGGTTGTACACACACACACAAGTAGAAAATAAGGTCTGCAGTGAGGGTTTTCCAGTGTCTGCATGGTTATCGGTCCTCTTTCTGGTGTCAGTCACTGCTAAAATTGGAAAACAGTGGTGTAAAAGGTTGCTGGTGGTGACACTGCCAATCATGACTGAATCACACGCTTAAAACTGGAGCACTTGCAAACAGAGGGGTTACACATAGGTGTAAAAGGTAGGCCTCTGACCATGGAAGAGGTACTAGGCTGCCAGGCTGTCAGTACTGAAACTGAGGAGGCAGAGTGGATCACAGAGAAGAGAGTCCAGATGAGGTAGCACAGAGGTGCATGTCAGTAAAGATCTCCTCCCACTCCCTGCAAAGTATGCACTTGAATAAAGGTCCCACAGAAAAGGCATTCAGAAGCGTCCTAAATAAGGGCAGACGACAACATTACAGTGGCTGTGGATATATGGCTTTGGAGAGCCAGCAAAAACTTGAAGGGTCCTAAAACACAATAAGTATAGGCACTTATGTACATAAGAAAAAATGCCTGGGACACTACAGCGCCATTGAAGACACCATATAATAATTTTACAACTATATCTGCGTAAGAATAAATTAGCTACATATACAAGTCCTCCATGGAAATCAAGTAGCCTGAATGCTACCTAGTTTCTAGACAAAGATGGGCAAAGAGCAGTCACATAAACGGTTACATAAACTGGTGCGATAGAAGTTAGAGGAAGGAACAGTGGAAGAGTGCTGGATAGGCAAGTATAAAGTGGGTGGAGAATTAGTTTAAACAGACAGTAGTTACATTTCAGCAACTAAATAGACTCCCTTCACTAATTACAAGCATTGACTTACTTAAAGTAAAGATCTTTGAAAGTGAAATGCGTCTCCACAATACCCGTCGTTTTGACCCGTGTTCGCAGCACATCTTGCTGAGTAGGAATGTAGGTGGGCTCCGAAATCCTGTCTACATCATTTAGGTAGCTTTAAAGAGAAAGCATACATAGAAAGTTACATAAAAAGTGAAGTAGGCTAAGTAGTACCAATACTGAACTCTACAAGTCTTTTCCTGTCAACTAGCAAACGTTTTATTTTTTGTTTTGGATAGAGTGGGCAAAGGTTAAAACCTCTATTGGGTTTTTACTGCTGTCCATGTCACCATTGCCATTTCCCATCACTTCCTCTTCTGTTTGACACCCTGTCAGTGGGACAACAAAATGAGAAGACAAATCCTCATTATGTGCACAATAAGCAATTGGTGTGCAAACGGGACACAGATTTCTTGATAAAAAAAATTATATTCATTGAACACCAAAAAAACATGTTTTGCGACCGAAATATCACTTCTTCAGACAAGTGGTGACAACAGATCATAATGGGAAGGTACAGAAAAAAAACGGGGGTTCAAGATCTAAAAACTGGGTTCCATCCCATTTTAATAAACTTAAAAAAAAAAAAAGAAGAATAGGAAATAATACATATATGTAGACACACAAAAAGTATGAAAATAAAAAAAAATACATCTTGAAAAAAATTCTATAATTCTAATGCTAAACTATATATACTGTATATTAGCGTGAAATAGTGATCCATTTTAAAAATTCTTGAAAAATTCTTATGGTATATAACAGATTACAAAGAGAGCATTGAGTAAATGCTTGAGTAAAGGTTCTGTGTCCTCATTGGAGAGATTCCCAGAAGGGAGAATAAACCTCTTGGAAGACAGTGCAATAAAAGCTTGACAAAAGGCTCACCTACTGTATCCAAAACAGTAAAACATAAATAAATGTTTGCCTGTAGTTGAGGTTTATAACTTGGCTGCTGTCCACTGTATAGGAACATCCTGTCCGACTGAATGTTAACTTTGCACACTGTTCCTTAAATACCTTAGCATTATTATTATACAGGATTTATATAGCGCCAACAGTTAACGCATCGCTTTACAATATAGGAGAACAATTTTTTTTTTAAATCGCATTTATTGAGAAGTTTTAAAATAAGCAGATAAAAAAACAAGGTAATAAGGTCAAAAAAGGCATAAACATAGAAAAATAGGTACATATAATTAGAACAGCCAAGACAGTTGTTGCATCACTGTTGATATATGGTCAAGGGCAGTGATGGTAAACCTTTTTGAGCCGTGTGCCCAAGCTGGATCACTAAACCAACTTGTGTTTCAAAGTGCCAACCCTGCAATTAGACCCGAATACTGATGATTTCTTTCAGAAAACGCTTCATACGACTGTCTGAACTAATTATGTGCTTCAATCTTAGGCCTCATTCACACTGCCGCACGTATTTCACCATATGCAAATAAATGGCTCCATACACATAGCTGCGTATGGAGCCGTATATTTGCGTAGCGTAAAAGTGCGCAAAAACAGAATGGAACCGAGATGCAGAGCAGTGTATTTTACGTGCATATACGTGTGTTTGCGCACGTATACGCGTACAGTTCATTAAAATTTCTATTACGAATGATGCATTCTGGGATTGCATATAGTGCACGCATCTACGCACATACACGCATGTATTTACGCAATAATAGGATTTTGTACTCACCGTAAAATCCTTTTCTCTCCGTTCATTGAAGGACACAGGCAACAGATCGTAGATCCTGAATGGTAGGGTAATATCGCCACCTGCAGGAGAAGGACGCTAGGCACAAAACTAAAGACCAATTACAGCCTAGGGGCGGCCCCTGCCGGTGGCCAAACCCCCCACCTGCTGACAAGTCTCCAGTTTAGTAACAAGCAGTTAGGAGTGTACACCCCATAAAGAGGGCGGGGCCTGTGTCCTTCAATGAACGGAGAGAAAAGGATTTTACGGTGAGTATTTTGCTCTTGCGTTGTGTGTGAATGAGGCCTTAGAGGTTTTAACTACACTACAGAGTGACATGTACCTTTGTACTGTGCTAATGAGTGAAGTGATCCATTGCAATGTGCTACTAAGGTACATGTCACGCCTCACAGTGCAAGGGAACAGTCTCTCTACTGATGGTAAGTCAGTGGTGGAGCACCAGGGCCTAGTTGCAGCTGTGACCACTGTGACCCTGTTAATTCTGTCACTGACTCCAACCTGTAAATTAACTAATCTCAGCAATATATCATACAAAAAATGCAGAATATCGGCAACTACAGATGTTCCTCGCTTAGCGACTTACCTGTTTTGCGACCACTCGCACTTACGACGGACCGCCGATCGACCTCCGACCTTGCACGTCGTCAGTGCGCCGTGTCGCCGGCGGAAGTGGTGTCCTCCGATCTTCACTGCGGGTCCCGGTAAGTATTTTCATTGCCCGATGTACAGTACACTGTTCGGTACTGTACATCGGCAACGCTATACAGTACTGTACTAATGCAGTACAGTACTGTATAGAGTTCCTCACTTAACGACCAATCCGTTTAACGACCTGGTCGTAGGAACGGAACTTGGTCGTTAAGTGAGGAATGCCTGTATAGAGGGCTACATATTCCAGAACTACATTATACAGCAATGTAGAATACCACCAACTCCCACGGGTGCTGTGCGGCTGTCAAGGGGACTCTGTGGGCTCTCAGGGGGTCTGTATGTGCTCTCT